CTTCACTTTTTACAAATCCTGAATTTGCTGTTTGGATGCCTGGATAACTGGAACTTCTCTGTAAGCATGAATATGAATTAAAAATTAGAAAGTGCATTGCAAAATTGATAATCCAACTGAATAAGTGGGAAGCCAAACGTTGCCTTTAATGCCCAAGCCACAAAACAGCCTTATTCCCAGTATTTGGAATTATCACTCAAATGAGTATCAGGAAATTTGCAGTGTTGGCATTTAAATAAAGGCTTAAGGTACAAAATCCAATTTTAGGGAAAAGGGCAGATTAAAAATCTGATTAAGAGAAACATGATAGCAATGATAAATGAGAAGAAAATTCTGATATTTCTTCATTTGATTTTGATCTTACTCCAACAGTTTCAGCACTTTGTTAGAAAGAATAGGGCCTGGTGCAGTAACCCAGGGGGTCAAGTCCTTGCCTTGCAGGTCCTGGGATCCCATATAGGCACCGGTTCATGTCCTGGCAGGCCCATTTCCCATCCAGCTCCTTGCTTGTGGCTGGGAAGGCAGTTGAGGACAGTCCAAAGCCTTGGGACCCTACACCTGTGTGGGAGACCCAGAAGATGCTCCTGGCTCCTGGCTTTGGATTAGCTCAACTGAGGACATTGAGGCCACTTGGGGAGGAAAGATCTTCCTCTCTGTTTCTCCTCCTCTCTGTATATCTGACTTTGTAATAAAAATAAAAATAAATCTTTAAAAAACAGAAAGAAAGAATTACTATATCAGAGAATTACTATATCAGAATTTTAAAAAATGAGTCAGAGCTCAAGAGCATCTTGGAGATAGAGCATCTCTTTTATCAGCTCCACTGAAGATTCACTTGGTCAGGCCCAGGGCAAGGGGACAGGGTCTTGGATTTGGATTTCCTCATTTCAGTGCCTGCTTCATCTTATCCTCCAATGTGAAGAATAGAAAGAAACATGCTCTTCTCAATCTTAACCTAGTCGCTTAGGTTTTCTGCCTGTGTAGAGAAATAGACTTAGTGAAATAGCACATGCCTTCATGGTAGTGACTATGTGAATGCCTTCATGGTAAGGACTATGGCATATATCGCTGCAGCTGAATTACAGAACACTGAAAATCGCTTAGTCTAATACAATCCTAAGTTCCTCTGAGTTTCGGATGTCCACATTGTTACTGATCAATACAGAATCAGTCTCGTCTCATCTGCACCTGTTTCGACATGCATCGTTGAAACACCTATGTGGGACGCACACCAAACCACAAGGCCACTCACACCTAACTAAAGCCAGCTATCCTCTGTGAGTCAGAGAACAGCCTTCTTGGGCTGAGGGACACTAGCAGAACTTCTGCACTGAACTTGGCAGCTAGTGTGAGCAGCTACATCACCAGCACAGGGCACAGAAGTATGAAAAACAGCACTGAGTAGACCGTGAGAGGACAACTGTCTGCAGTGTAAAAATGTAAAGAAGAAAGCAAAACATCACCTTGTTCGACCTCATCTGGAACATGTGTATTGAATGACTAACCATTTTTTTGGACACATGCATGCAGATGGCCACCCGTTTAAAAGAAGTATTGATTTGTGGGTGACAGGCAAGTGTTACTAAGTAAACAAGTGTACAAATGCAGAATCCTTAAGTAACAAGGGACAACAGTATTATTGTATTATTATGAAGACAATGTCCTTTGGTACCCTAGTTAAAAAAAAATCTAGATACCTGGGATGTTGCTATATTGTACTAGGAATAAAATGGCTTCCAATAATCTTCCTTTCTAGAAAAAATGCTCATGTTTATTGTACGTTTTCTGTTTGGGTAGTGCACATTTCAGGGGGTGATTTTTGCTTTTGTCCCAGAGGCTGATGATTATTTAAAGTCACCATAGGCATGTTCAATGAAAAGAAATCCGGATAAGCAATTATACAACCTAGATATCAAAAGGCATTTTGTCTTTTTGACGTGACATGTAGAACTAAACTGGTATGATAAAAGTAAATATAATCCAAAATCCTTTTTAAAATAAAAAAAAGAACATGTGCTTTAGAAGATATTCCTGTTTCTGTCATGTGTTTGTTGCAGGTCATTTTCATTTTGCTCATATGCCTTTCATATTTTGAAAACACACCTCTATAAATATATACTACTTTCACCAATTAAAAAGCCAACATAAATATCACTTTGAACACTGTAAAAGGTTAGCCCTATCATAAGTCAGACCTAGCTAGGAGAGAATCATGTCCTTTATTTTTGCAAAGAAAACAAACTGAAGAAAATAAATTGAATCTTGGAAATCCTTCCCTACTCCCCTCTTTTGCTTTTCGCTTCCTTCATCTTCCTTTCTTGCTCTCTCACTTTTCTGCACATCTGTATTTTCTAACAGCAGCCACCTGCACCATTAGACACATTTGTTCCCACCCTGGCTTTCCCTTAGATGGAGGCCTCACTGGGGAGTCATATCGGCACATTTGAACAGTTACCAAATCAAGATTAGAGTTGGAAGAGAAAGCCAGAAATCAAAGCTAAGACAGATGGAAGGGAGATGGCAACTCATAAAGCCTGTTCTATAGGAAATAAAATGAACTTAGGTAATCTTCAAATGGTGCAAGCAGATGAGAGCAAAGCTGATGGCATGCAGGACCAGCATTTTGATATTTTCTTCAGTAGGAGGCAAGGTCATCTGTTACTAGTTAAGCAGGGAGGAGTTTGGACATGGTACTGGGAAGAAAGAGATGGTATGAAATAATAGGTCATGAGAGCAACAAGCAAGACACTCAAGACCCAGAGGGGGTGGACAGAAGAGCTAATGAGCATCAGGAAGCCAGCTCCAACTGGGAATCAGTGTTTAGTTAACCACAGTTAAACTAAACAATATTCTCCAGCAAGTGTGAGGACAGAGCATCAATGTTATCGCTGTTTCCTCTGGAGTGTAGCACCTGGACCCTGCATCTTCCTTCCCTGTCTTTCCTGAAAATCACATCACATCACATGGAATCCTTGACTTTCTACGGCTATTGTTTTGAAGCTCTTGTACCCTAGCCGACCCAGAATAGAAGATGAGAGGATGGGGTTATGGCAGTAGGGAACTACCGGTTTCAAGATGCAAAAAGCTTTTCACTCTTGTATGAATGCTTGGAACTGGCTGCATCTCGTGAAAGCATTCAGACCTAGTTCAGACCTTCTGCTCAGGCCATTCTATCTGCTGACTTCAGCCTTGAGACAGTGAAGTTTCCTTGTCTTGTTAGGCCTCTAGCAGCAAGCTACTCTAGGATTGCACAGTTTTCATTATTTTTCCTGGAGAAGCATTGCATAAAGTTGTCAAGGATACAAACAAAACTCAAAACAAGAAGTTTAGTAAAAGGAAGCTTGAGGAGCAGGTTGAACAAAAGAAGAAAGAAGAGGCCATTCGGTGGTATATTGATTACACCTGACAAAGGTGGCCACTATTTTAACTAGAGTTGAAGGCAAAATATCAAATTTGATGTTTTCTTATGTTAAATCAATAGCTTCACTCTTCCTATCATCTATAAATTCTCTAGGCATCTCTTCTTTTAAAAATGTCCAGGCCAGATTACTACTATAGAAATCCCACAGGCCAGATATCACTGAAAGAACCTTAACCGTGAGAGTTCTACCACTGAAAAATTAGGAGAAAGTTAAGAAAGAAATTCTATCTACTCCCTTGAAGTGAAGTTAACATGTAGATGGCTACCAATGAAGACATGTCTCAAAACTCTTCAAAGAGTAATTGGAACGAACGGTGGCAATTAACAGCTGCTTTTATTTTTTGACTGAGGAATTGGTAGCCACATAGTAAATAATATTAACAGTAAAAGTTATAATCATCCCAACAATACTATAATATTTGCTAAACATTTTGAATGTTGCATATGTGATTTGAAATAATTACCTGAAGCTGTGTATGAGATCGCCTTATCCTGTTCAGAAAACTGACATTCAGGGAGATGGTCTTGCTCCAAACCAACCAGCTAATAATTCCTGTGATTAGAATCTTATTCATTTAACTCAAAAGCCAGTGTCCATTCCCATCTACTTACAAGGAGACACACTAAGCATGACTTCATGGCAATAAACGCCCCAGGAGAATAGGATGGGTCTTCTGAAAACCAACATTTCACTTGTCAGAGGCAGATTTTCCCAACGAATTTCTTAAACCATGAAGTTCTCCTTTCCTGATATCATTAAAACCAAAAGTTAACTAAACTCTCTGCAGAAAATTAGAGCTGGGAAACTCACAGTCCCTTTCAATGTTCTACAGAGAAAAAAAAGCTGCTTCCATGAGAACTAGGAGAGGAAAAACCCTATGGTGAGCTGTCACTGAACTAATGAGAGACACAGCCTGTCTAATTTTCATGCGAGCAAACACCATCACAAATGCTTTCAAAGGTCAAGTTGCAGTGAGTGAGGTAATTCTGTTTGGAGAGTGAAATAAACATCACTTTGGTTTTGCTCATTTTTTTTCCTTTTCATTTCTCTCTCTCTCTCTCTCGCTCTCACTCTCCCTCTCTCAGTATCTAATTTCTTGCTCTTTAGAGTCAGAAGTTTTCACATCATTCCTATTTTGCCCAGCCCCTGTGAAAAACATGTTATAGCCTTTCCCTCGGATTTTCTCAAGACCTTTCTGCTCAAGCACACCCTATTTTCTTACGAAGCTGGAGACTTTGAGAGGGTGGAGAATGATGTGGGATTTAATTTGGCAGAACTACAAGGGCAGAAAAGGTGAGGGGGTAAGGAGGAAGTTAAGGAAGGGGTCTCCTGTTAAAATAATCTCGATCTCTAACCAATTTCACAAGGACAGCATTTTTGTAGATTGAACAGTTTTACAAGGTTTTTTTTCTCTCTCTCTTTCAAAATATTCTTTCAACAGTCACGCTGTTTTCAGATGAACTGAAAGAGGTAGTGTGTTCAGAAGGGACAAGGATGGGCTATAGAATATGACTGGAGAGATACAAAAGCTTCTTTATGTAAATGTATGTTTGCCCTGGCAGGAATTTGGAGACGTACCTGCACATAATCCACACTTCGTCCCAATGCTCTGAAGGCTGTGTACATGACTTCTCTTTTTCCACCCCACTTCTGCATGATGCACACACTTTTGTTGGACAGGACCAATTGGGTTACATGTTGAGAGCTTTCTTTATGTGACTCATCCGTCTCCCCAGGCCCCTTTTCGTGGAAGTTGTTCTTCCAGATGTAAGTGGCTGATGTTTCCCTGCCCATGATTTCACTGAAGATGTCCATCATGTAAACATCATCTTCGGAGTTCCCATCAATGACCATGACGACCTTAATCCCAGGGTAGGTCAGCCTTTTCACAGATTGTAAACATTTCCTTAAGTAGTCTGGGTCTTCTTGGTAGGCAGCGATGCAAAGAGCAACTGTTTTGTTCAGCTTAATGGGGGTTTCTAGGGACTTTTTCATTTTTCGATGCTCCAAAAAGGCAAACAGGCTTTGGATGATGAGGTGTGATGCTAAAAAGGCACCATACAGTCCAAAGGAGAAATAATAATTATCCGTTTGGATAAACTGGTAGCCAACAATATAAGCAGCTGTGATTCCCAAAAGGAGAGAGACTCCAAAAAGTGTGGTTCCAATTATTCTCAGGATACATATAAATCTCTCACAATGCATCTGTAACAGAATCAAACAATACTCCTGGTTAACCACATCGGTTATCTACATGGTTTTCTAGATAGGGCTTATGGCTAGACACATTGGGGAAGCTGTTAATATCCATTTCTTTATTTATAAACGTGGATGTACACATCTTCTGGTAGAGTTCACACAGTCTCATTCAAGACGCATATGCCAGTGCAAGGTACTGCTGAAATCCACAGCATACTCATAAAAACCTAGATGTACTGCTGTCAGAATGATGGGTTGGTTGTCTAAGGCTGCACTCTGTACAGGGTCATAGATAGGTATAGAGTCTACAGTTCTGAAAACCCACAGTAATCTTCCTTCTCCCACAATGTTTTCCCTGTCTCACTACTGACCAGTGAAAAATCCACAGGAGATTCGACTAAATTTCTTGTATGCAATTTCAATTCATCTGCACTGCCAAACCTTCCATTTAGACCCTTACAATGCAGATGACTGGTGATGGATTTCAGGAGAATCAGCTATAGGACTAGCTCGTCAACTAGTTGTGTGACATTGAGTGAATGAACTTACTTTTCTGAGGCTTAATTGCGTTTTTAAAAATCTGTTAAATGAGAGAATCTGCGGCCTGATTATATTCTGTAATCAAAGTCCCCCTTTGATAGTTAAAATTCTTTACACATGAGAACAGGTATTCATCAAAGCCCTTGTACTTCCGATTTACACTCCTGTCTTCCTTATCCTCCATCACCACAGGTTTAGATCCTGGGAACTAGGAACCCTTTTGGAACAAAGTAATCACATAATAATTTCGTCAGATTTAATCAGTTAAAAAGTCACAATATTGAATTTTGGCATGCTACTGACAACACTTGAGCTGAAAGAGCTTTTAACTCTTGATCACCAATTTTGAACTCACATCCAAATTTTTCTGCTATCTCTGGAGTAAAGTTTTGAACAAATTAAAAACAAAATTTGTTTCTGTTTTTCTCAAGGCACTTCCAGTGCTGAGAACTGAAAGGCCACCTGGTAATCATTTTTTTATTTATTTTATTTTTTCCCTGAAGTTTTATTTTTCTCCTCTTTCAAGAATAAAATACCATAAGGGACATAATTGGCATAAGCACAATGCGTCCCTATCTATGGCCATTTGTCTCAACTTGGAAATATTGTTATATTTATATATAATTTGTACTTAATCCTTTCTTAATCCAACTAATTTTCAAAACTCAATAGTTTTAACCTAAATGGAAACTTTGGTTAACCAATCAACTCTGCAAAACATCTTGCTTGATGTTCTGTTTATATTTTCCTAACCACATCAAAACTTAGAACTGAATGTTCACATAGAACCTATTATCATGGTGGTGGCTAAGAGGATGGGAGGGTCACAGAGGCCAGTTGCTGAGCTCCAGGAGGCGTTGTTCACACGGACACCTTCCTCACCCTGTAGCCAGCCATTGTGGTAGGCCTGAGCAACTGCACAATGAACTTCTAGGCAACCTTAGTGTGACTGCTCCTTTCTGAGCATGGACTGCATGCAACAGCCATGGCACAAAAGCCTTGGAAAGCCTGTATCACAGTACTTCTGGTAGGGTCTTTGAAGACAGAAGGGATGACGTGATAATCTCTCTCCTCCACAGGCTTGTCCTAGGTAGCAACAAGTTGTAGGGGATTATAGTACCCCAAGAGAGGGAGGTTCATCCTTCAGCTACCCTACAAAAGACAGCAACTCAATAATCATAGTTATTTGTCTTAGATTCTTATTTTAACAGGAAGCAATTTCTGAATTTTTGCTTGTTTAACGTGGTTTTCATCTAAGTTCTCTAGACAAATATGACAGCATTGATGCAAAGCAGCCTGGAAACCAGAATTCCATCCTGGGAATGTTATTTTGTTTTGTTGAATGGAGATTGTCACACCTATCAAAAAACTTTGAGATGGCTGTGGTGAGAACAGTGAACTAATATTGTGAAAGTGCTTTTGTGACATGCAATATCAGCTAATTAGGTAACTAAAAAAAATGTGCGCCCTCTTTTTAGCAGCAATGTAGGATCGCATAGAAGTAACATGGGAGCTTGATACAAGTAACTATAACACACATAGAAAAATCAACTTCTGTGAAACAGTGAAATGGTGAGTTTTAAGCAAAAGGCAAGCAAGCACATCAACTCCTGTTAATGAACACAGCTGACGGGATACTGAAAATCCCCACCGGGTACATTAACCAGTGCCTTAAGGTGCTTGGAGCACCAGACTTGGAACTTGCCATTTCCAAAATATGAGTCATTCTCACAAGAGTGAAAGATTTCAAGGGGACTAAAACACTTTGTAGGGAAAAGCTAAAGTGTGTGGTTAGTCTGTATTTAAAAATCACCACAGCCAGAAGAAGAAAAGCCCACTATTCTTTTCCATTATTCACATTTTCCTTGCTTTTATCAGCACACATGGACACAGAGCGTTCACATAGCATCTGCTGGCCACAGCTGAAGTGGGAACACCCTCTTACATCATAGGAGTCTACAGAATGTCCTTTTCAAGCCTGAGAAAAGTTACTAGCAAACTGCTACAACATGGCTAGAACGGAGCCTTTATGTTCTGCAAGATAAGTTGCCCAGCGTGACACATGCCATGTCTCAGTGGAGGCTAAAGGGCAAAAGGCACATTTTGGAGCCAGCTCTGCAGAGGGAATATGCTGATCTCAGGGAGTGACACACAGGATGCGTTCTGTATAATTTCCCCAAGGCGGTTTCACAGATATGGGCACCATATGTGTTAGGCTCTCAGAAACAATCCCCAATTCAAACACTGTTGCGTAAGCATACTCCTAGTCAGACGCAAGGCTTTATGGAGAAATTAGACAATAGGATTGGTGAATCTTGGTTTACTACCAGTTGGAAAAATGATTTTAAAATCTACATTGTATAAATATTTAAAACATAAAATTTGAATTCACTTTGCCCAGTGACAGGCATCAGCTCAATAATTGACTCATAAATTGTGATTGGGCTTGCTATCAAGTATTTACTGCTACTCTCCACAGAATTCTAGGCCAGGCCAAGTATGGGATGGTCTAATAGTCTATAATTTAGTCTCCACAAAGTCAATAGATAACTATTTATTATACACACACACACGTAAAGTGTATTTTTAATCTACTCCTACCAGTGTGACTCAGGCCATAAAATATTACCTGGGTCATCATTGATACTTAGTAAATATTTGCTGACCAAACAAATGAACGTAAACTTATTCATCATTTTCACAGTTATCTAATAGTCAGTGACATTTTGTGGTATCAACCACTGTACCATACTGTGGTACCAAGCAGATTAGTAAATCATGGATCATTTGTGAAGTTTCAGTTAGTGAAGTCAGTTTGTTTGGTTCAATAGCATGAAGCTGGCATTGTGGCACCTGAAATGCTGCTGTACCAAATGGGTGCCAGTTCCCGTCCCAACTGTCATGCAGCTCCCTGTCAATGACCTAAGAAGGGCAGCAGAGGATGGCTTAAGTGCTTAGGTTCCTGCCAACCACATGGGAGACGTGGGGATAACTCCAACTTCCTGACTTAGGCTTGACCCAACCCCAGCTATGGCAGCTATTTAGAGAGTAGACCAGAATATGGAAGATCTCTGTCTCTCGCTCTCTCTTCAAGTAAACAAATACATCTTTAAAAATATCAAGGTCTTATGGAATCTTAATAACTTTGGTTGGTAAATGTATTATAAGTCTCATAACTTATGCATGCGCCAAGAATCTAAGTGTTTGGAATTTGCACACTTAGGTTATTCATCCAAAGCCATAAAATTAGGAGTATGACCCACACAGCCTAAGAACAAGTAATTATTCTCAATAAGTGTTTATGAATTTACTGTTTTCATCTACTTGGAAGGCAGAGTGAGAGATTTGCTGAATAGTTTTCATCCTCATGACAAAACGGATAGCATCCTTTTGTCTCTGGATAATAAAACTGTATTACATAAGATAACATCTGGAAGGAACTTTGAAATAATGTCTCTGTGAGTATGAAAAATGGGAAGTGGCTCTCACTCAGGTGGGCAGCCAATTCCCAGAGATTTCTGGCTCATATACCATCTTAGGTAGGTAATGCTTATCAGATATCAGAAGTTAAGTACTTAGTGGTTCTGCCCATGCAATGGTAATTTTCATTTTAATGCCATCATGCAAAAATCCACTTTCAACATAGGAAATGCACTACTACTTCATGTGCAGAGATCAAGTCTTGTTCTCTGCTCTCTATCAGGCATGGGACTCTAGGTCATTCATTGTGCACCAGAGCCTGTTCTTCCCCTTGATCTCATATTAAACAGACAGCAAAACATTGAAGAACAACAGCTTTTCTCTTTGCCCTACAGCAGTGGTGAGGACTCAGCGGTCATTGTTTTCATAAAGTGCTTCTTTTATATTGCATCTGGGGAAAGCTTTAAGAGGTGAGATGACCTTTTCTTAGAGGTCTGAGCATCCGCTTCTTTTTAAAGTTGCTTTTCCGCTCTTTCCTCTCTTTACCCCATCACACAATTCTTCCCTTCCATTTCTAGATTTTTAAGTAGCATTTCAGCCTACTATTTTGCCATAGGAACTTGTGTATCTCAATGACTTCTGCCCTGTACCTAAAACAGGGCTCTGGTTATAATAGACACTTACTATAGGTTAAATTATTCATAAATCTATTCAGACCTGGGCAGTCAAGCAGACTGCTCAATGTAGGCCCCACCCCTCTTCTCAATAACAGGGGCAGTAAAAGTATGTTGAGAGCCAAGCAAGCAACTGCCAATCCAACAGCTTTCTCCTTTCTTTTTCTTTTACTTAACCAGCTGCAAATTTGTTCCTCAGATGTCTAAAATTTACATCTGTGAGGATTTCCAGGCCAGCTCTAGGAGACCTTTGGATAGGAGGAAAGGCAGGTCATCCCCAAGAACATCTGCAGCAATTGGACAATTTTATGATTCAGAGGTTAAATGTTGGACCTGATGGATAAGGAGATTATTCTTACCAATCTGAACTAT